TATGAATTACAATATTTCTTTTTCTTGGCAATTTGTTGATTACTTTAATTTAGGGGTGATGTATATTTAGTAACATCTTTTGTTTATGGTTTCAATAAATTCTTTTTTTTTTCATTATTTTTCACTATTTTCTGAAAAATATTTTTTTCGCTTGAGAGAAAAGTTCTAACGTGGGCCGGCCGTGCCTTGCACGGCGATAACCTGCTAGTTCCTATTCATATATTCCTAGAGTTATCAAAGTACCCATCTCTTTATAATTTCGGTTAATCCCTCATCGTTATTCTCGAATCTATTCTACTGAGCACCGAGCTTGTCCGCTCCTTCTCAACTCTTCATCTCTATCGCTGGTTAAGCGCTGAGACAACAAGGTGGACCTCTTTTTTGTTTTTCATTTTCCTTTTTGTGCGATATTAAATTAATCTATATTTTCTAATTTTGTGAATGCCCTTGTATCAGGTGTTTGGTGAAGGATTGTGAATTTGTTTATTGATAAATTATATTTATGAGAAGCAGAATTTTTTAAAATTTTGTAACAAAGATTTGAATTGCAGTCTAACCATGAGCAAGTTATTCTCCAATCAGGTGTGTGATTGGCTGTATATGAATCCTAGCCAAGTATCATATTTATGTGATTGTTCCATACCTCACCATAGATAGAAACCTTAATCACGGAGTCGACAATTTTGTAATCTCAATTCGAGACCTCGATCAGTCACTTGAAATTGTGTTATTGTGCTCTGTGAAGTTGAATTTATAAGTTGTGCTTACTAAGATTAGGTTAGTTACATGCATAACGCTTTGTACACCTTTTGATCATGATTTTGATATTTACATCTCCCTTTCTCTGTAGGGTAGGTAATTGAGAATGCCTGAGATGATGGAGATGGAAATCAATGGAAAACTCAGATGTTGTACCGTTTCAGATGTCTCGAAAAGAAGGAGAATTTTGGAATCTGCTGATAGTCCACAACATGGAGCCATAGATAGTACTGATGTCACTATTAGTTTTCAAGATGGGCTATGGCCTGAGTGGGTGTTGATGGAAGTTCTGTGCAGGCTCCCAATTAAGATGGTTTTCCGATGCAAAAGTGTCTCAAAACAGTGGCTTTCTCTAATCTTGGATCCTTATTTTGTCCGCTTCTATAACATCACCTTTCGAGGCTGGCAAGCCTCTGCTTTCTCGGGCTTGGATTGGTGCCGCCCTCCGTGGGTCTTTATTTACAACAAAATGAGTGCTGAAGGTTGTGAGATGACCCTTTTTTCAGAAGAAAAACTAGTGGATATTATGTATCCTTTTCCAAACTCCCCTTCCCCTAATTATTGTGTACTTCCCATTCCGAAATCTCAGCAACAAGGTAAGAAGGGAGGAATCTATACCATCCATGCCATTCACGACGGGCTTGTGCTGTACAAGTGGAGGGATTTTCGTAAGGGCATAGATGAGCTGTACATCTGCAATCCCATGACCAACCAGTGGTTTCAACTTCCTCAACCACCCAAATATATCCCAATGGAAAATGGCAGCTATGGTTTCATCACGCGGGTTGAAGCCGGAATCTTAACCAGCTACAGGGTCGTGTTTGTCCGTTGTCATCCCCGGAAACAATTTTTCATCGAGTTCGCGGTGTTCTGTTCCGAATCAGGAAAATGGGTAGAATATACCGTTCACTCCAGGCGTGCAGTTCAGGTTTCTTATATCAAGAAGACTGTGTTCCTCAACGGGAAACTGCACTGGAACGATTGTGAGCTCGGGCTTATAGCATACGATCCTTATAAGAGTCCTGATGAGATGCGGTTGATAGATTTTCCCAAGGATAGATACAGAGGTTATAGACCAGGCACATACACCACGAACTTGAGCTCGTGTGGCGTCCACCAAGGGCTTCTCAAGTATTTTGAAGTTACTGATCCATTCAGTACGCGTGGCTTCTCGCATCTCAAGATATGGGTGCTCGAGGACTATGATATGGGTGGATGGTGTATGCAGAATATGGTTGCGTATGAAGATATCAGGATTGGCGGCAGTTTGTATCGCGGATCAGTAGTTGTCGACCTCGTTTGTTTCCATCCGTATGATGCGGACATAGTGTATTTGAGGTGGTGCAGCAACTTGGTCTTGTACGACATGCGGACGAGGGAGGTGAGATCGCTGGGCGTTCCTCATGAACCAGAGAAGCGTTTCAGGTTCACGTGTGACGGGCACTGTCTATGCTTCCCACTTGTGCTCCCGCCATGGCCTATTTCTATTCCGACCTCTCTAATACCAAAGCTATAGGGAGACCCATCATTTTCATTCTTATGTTATGTATTAACCTTATTTAAGAACACTAAGTATGAATATTTTATTCTCTGATCACCTCGCATCAACTAAAAGATGTACAAAAATGAATCTTGATTAAGCAAAAGATGTTGATGGCCAGTGGTCTAAAGAAGGCTAATGAATTTGCTTGAAGGAGAAGGTATAGTCCTTGTTCTGATGTTTATATACACTAGTAAAGTACGCATGATTTATATCTTTTTGTGATTTCAAATTATTATTTTTTTATTTATGTCTTTTATAGTAATATCTTATTGCTCTTTTTGTGATTTCAAATTATTATTTTTTTATTTATGTCTTTTATAGTAATATCTTATTGCAAGGGTATGAAGCAAAATTTATGTCTTTTTATTTATATCTTCACGCATAAGTATGTCCATTCCAAATGGAGCTGGAAGAGTCATTGTTAACAATTTTTCTGACATAGTGCTATTAATGGATTAGATCAAAATGACTCAATTAAATTCTAGTGCTTCTTTTAATAGTGAAGTCTTTAGAAAAAAAATATATCCAACGACGCAATGCACCTTGAGTCGCTCTGGAAACAGTCTCTTTGTATAATTACAAGGGTAAGATATGCGTACAAGTGATCCCTCAGACTCCAACCCATTTGAGAATATACTGGGTATGTTGTTGTTGTATATGAATTATAAAAATAATATAATATAACACATATAAGTCACAAATAACAAGTATCATTTTAAAATATATAGTAATATATATTTTTTGTAAAAAAATAAATTAAATTTAATATAATTTTTCTCATTAAATTTAAAATTTAAGAACAATTTTTTAACAAGCACCCGTGTAATACACTATTACACTGGTGTTGTACTAGTTATTATTAAGTATTAATTAATGATTACTATTAGAATCTAAGTAAATTTTATTAGTGGACGGCTAAGTGCTGATTTTGTAGCTTGGGGCAACGTCACCTAATAAATCAATAAATTAGTTGCTATCACCACTGTTCGAAAAGTCGGTCTAGGCGGCCGCCTAGGCGCTAGGCGCTGCCGCGCTGGTACAACGCCTACAATTTAGCCAAATCGGCCATAAAAATCGGCCGGGCGGGGTAGGCGGCGCCTAGTCGGACCTAGGCGAAGCTAGGCGGCCTCGGCGGCTACGCGGTTTCGGCGGGACTAGGCGGTTGAGGCGGGTTCTAAGCGGCCGAGGCGGGTTCTAGGCGATTTTTGCAGTTTTTTTTTTTTTTNNTTTTTTTTTTTTGCATTTAATTTAAATAATAGATCTTATAATTTATTATTTTATAATTTTTTTATATTTATTTTATGTTGTGTAATATTTAAAACATAACATATTTGATAAAATTAAATGAGAAGAAGTTATGTTGTGGTTATATACTTATTTTGACTTGGAGTTTGTTTTATAATATAATATTAATAATATTATTGCGACTTAAGTTAAGTGTATGAATTTATTAATTATAAGTTATAATTTCATTATTGAAATTGTAAAAATAAATAAAAAATAATATATTTATTATAATTTCTAGGGCCCCGCCTAGGCGCCGCCTAGGCCCCGACTAGGCGCTAGGCGCTGGTCGGGCGCCTAGTGACTTCTAGAACACTGGCTATCACAAAAGATAAATGAATTATTAGAAGGTGTTAAAGTCCCCTTACATAACCATTCTGTCGAAGTTTGTAACCGTTAAAATTAATTATCTCTAACAATTACATAATAATCTACGATTACAAATTCAGACATAATAGTTCCGCAATGAGACCTTAATTATTGTGACTTGCTATTCACCGCTCCCCTTTTACTAGTCACTGCCCCCCCCCCCACTTTTA